TCGCCCCCCCCCTTCGCTGCTCTCTCTCTCTCTCCCCTCCGGTACACGGCACCGTAAGACATAGTGTGGAGTTGCATTAGGAAACGCTGTGGGTGGCTGTACTGCTCCAGCCGTCTCCTTTGTGTTTGTTTGTTTCCCCCTGTCTGTGTTGTTTGTGTGTGCGTGGTGGCTGTCACTCCTGGCTCCCGGCTCAACCTCCACTCACCTGCTGCAATCAGCTGTGCACCCTCCCCGACTACACACCTGCTTTCAATCAAGCCATTTACAACGGCATATCAACGGAGGCTCCACAACCTTTCTCCGCCAGATCGTCAAGTATCAGCCGTATCTCGCGTCTCCCCTCCGGTACACAGCACCGTAGTGTGGAGTTGCATTAGGTAACGTGAGATACGGCTGATACTTGCGCATTAGTTTCTGTTATGGATCAGTATCAACAGTCCTGCCAGTAACGTTACTATATTATCAATGCTATGTTAGTTATGGCCTGATATATCATAGCTAACTTCACAATGTTGTGATGTGACGTTAGCTAACATTCTGTAGCTAACGCCGGTCACTCACCAAGATAGCTGCCCAGTTATCCACTGGTTCTCCTCACACCACAGCTCAATTTCTCTACGATGGCCGTTATTTCTTCTAATCCTTGGTTGCTCCTGGTCTCTTGGACGCCTAGCAGGCTCATAATTATAAGGTTGTGGTCCGTCATATGCTTTCGAATATTCATGTTCAACTTCTTCTGTGTCTTCTGTATCGAAACCAGCATTGGGATCCATGTTTATTAATACGTTACACCGGCCGCTCTCCCCCTTGTTTCCCCCATGTTACGTCACACGCGGGAGGTCACGTGCCGAGGCTTTTTTATGCGGAAGTGAACATTTCTTACAAAAACGACGCCAGATGTCACTGTAGTGTCTATTTCTGTATTTTTTTTTTTAAATCTAGAGTATTCATAATTTTCCTATATTTATTCACAGGTGTCTTTAACCTGGAAGTTGCTCTTTAAAGGATATTTTGCCTTTACAAATGGTGCGCTTTATCACTGCCTGGGTTTTGGTTGAAGTGCATCCAAATGCTATACTGCGTTTTCGCGTTTGGCTCATTTCCATCCGAAAAACACGCCATCTACCTGTCCTGTACCACTTGTTATGACTTCTCTCTCCCGTATTCCGTTAAGCCCCACCCCATCTCACTCCTCGTGCTGAAACCTACCAGTCAGAGTAGGGGCGGGTCTTCACAGAATAGGTTTGGGGAACAAAATCAAGCTTTTTAAAAGGCGAGTGGATTTTGGCAGGCAGTGAGTGTGGACCAACCAAGCTCTCACTGAGTACGACTCGGTTCCCCTTGTTCGTACCAAAGAGTCGGCTCGTTCGCGACAGACACATAACTAGATGCAACGATCGTATCGGGCGTACACACGGAGCCGCAAGCGTGTCGTTCCAGACCCGTTCATACCAAAGAATCGGCTCGTTCGCGACCGACACATCACTAGTTGCAACGATCGTATTGGGCGTACACACGGAGCCGCAAGCGTGTTGTCTCCAGACCCACTTTGGGAGCCGTTATCAAAGTGCATCGGATTCGGGCTCCGAATCCGCTGCTACGTTTCGGCTTTGTGTGGACGAACCTTCTATACAATAGAGAACGTTAGCGGATACAACTGATATCGTCTCTGTGTGGACGGGGCCTCAATCAGATAACCTCTTGAGAAGAAAGCTTTGAAGTGAAGCATCTTTCACACCTGAATCTGCTGCCATGGTTCCTGAATTCATGCACTGCTTATATCAATCAATCAAAGTTTGTTTATATAGCACACTCTCACACTCTCACACATTTTACATTTGTCTCAGGGGACATTCCAGTTCATACAGAATATGGCACCCTCTGTCCCTAGACCCTAAAAAAAAAACCTTCCAAAGAAACAAAACCCCCCAATTAAGAGGGAATGGAAGAAACGTCAGGGAGAGCAACAGAGGAGGATCCCCCTCCCAGGACGGACATAGATGTTGTATGTAAATTACAAAGATAATAAATGTACAACATAAACATTCGAAATGTTAGAAAACAACATGTGTGTCTGTAGCCGGTCTGGGCCTACTTCTCAGCAGACCCTTGCTACGACTCTGCGTTGTGTTGTGCGTGTTTGATGGACAAGGAGATTCGGTTGTTGTCTTTAACCGAAACTGTGGCGTATTTATTCCTCTGCATGAAATAAACACAATAATGCAGCAGCATTAATACACATGGACGTCTGCAACACACCAGTCTCAGTCTGCCATACAAACAACTGAGAGACTAGTACTTATAAAACATTCAGATATCAAATCTGTCACAATAGATCACAATACACTGTACAATTACAGTTACACTGGAAATGTATACACCACCGGCTAATTAGTATTTTTAGACATGTAAATAAAACAATAAAAATAAACACATAGTACAAAACACAATAGACCAAAAACATGGGAGCAACAAACATACCTGCATGAAGTAAACACAATAATGCAGCAGCATTAATAAACATGGACGTCTGCAACACACCAGTCTGTGGTGGGGAAAAGATGCCATTAAACATGCTGCAGGTGCTGTGTGTGAGTCCTCACACGTGCTGCTAAACAGTACTTAACTAAAAGTTTGCTAAAACACTCAAACTTCTGCAAAACAGCTACACAGCAACACATTAGCACCATGGAATGATATTATAACCTTGTTTCACAGTTTAAGATTATATAAACACTGTAAACATCATTTAGAACAGAAATCTACAAAGAGCACATGACAAACTCTCCTCACCTCAGTCTGCCATACAAACAACTGAGTGAGAGAGGGTGCAACGCAGGTAGATGACGTCACTGCCGAAAGTGAAGACTTCAAAATAAAAGCATTAGCTCCCAAAACGGTCTTTTGTAGTAAACATACCAAAATAAAAGTGACAATATTGGAACAATAAAATAAAACGTGAGGGATTATTGGTGGAATGCATTCCTGTATATTTATATACCTGCTACATTCACCCCTCCTGAATTACACCAAAATCCTGAGCGGCTGACATAACACTGACAGGGACATTAACACTGCGTTAAAACTGGCACGGGTTCACATAAAGATACCATCTTCACAATCAGCTAGAAGCTACCTG